TTTTTTTTAAATGTTCCTTTTTGTTATAAAATAAATATATTTTTGTTTATACCAAATTTTTCCTATAAAAATGTACTTACTGCTTCTTTATTCTCTTAGTTACTTTTATAAATTCTTTTCCATTCACAAAATATTTACGCTTTTTACTTACCTTGTAATTAATTTTGCAATGATGAATAGTGAAAATCAATTTAATTATTCACATTGTATTGAGCTAAAATTTTAATACCAGATATTCTCTTATTTTTGCCATCATTCCTTGCATTTTTACATAAACCAAGCAAAGAAATAGTCAATATGCAAGGAAATGACAAAGCATAGAAACAAGCAGCATATCATGTATTATAAAAAAAAAAAACTAAATAAGGTTTACATCAAATCTTGTAGTAATTTTATTAAAAAGTGTGATTGAGTAAAAGGGAACAAAAATAAGGCCTTTGTTATAAAACAATTCTTTTTAGATACAGAGAACAAAATGAAGAAATTGTCCCATAGATGAAAATAAAGAACTTCTGTAAATTAAATATTTAGATTAAAAGATACAGTAAATTGTATTTTATGTATAAAGTATCACCAAGTATTGTATCAACAAAGTTATAACAAAAAAAACATTTATTTTGTAAAACCCAAAGCCATTTTAAGTTGTAATTCTTATTATGACTAAATTATGTAGAATTCTTTTTAACTTTTAGCATTAATATTACTTCCCTTTTCACTGCATTCTTTTTCAATTGCAGTATACTTATTGTTAATTTTATTCAAAGGTGTTTTCTGTTGCCATAGCAGGATATGACAACACATCTATGAAATTCAAATTCAGAGATCAGAGTTACCTTCAGTGGCAGGATAAACTTTTTGTACAGCAAATAAAGTAACATACAGTGTGGTAAAAATTAAAGTTCATAAAGTTATATTTGTACAATTGTAATGTATGCATTTGACACTTCTCATTCAAATACCTTTTATACAATGACTCTAACATATGAAAAATGATGATTTACAGTCCAATGATTCTGAGAGTGGATCAATAAGCCTGTAGCCTCACACATTTGCTGGATACCTTTGAGTTTTAAATAAATGAACCAGGATGATTATTGTCTTTTGAATAAAAATCCACCTAGGACAAAGCATTTCATTTGAATATTTAATAGGAGTGGGTGGTGTAAGGATGTCCTAGATGAATTTCTCTCACTCCCCATTCACCCCGAAAAGAGGCAAATATTCTGTAAAATGAATGGACTTTTTTTTTCATTAAGCTACAGACATTGATCTACCTATATAAAATGAGTTACTGAACAGTTCTTTGTCCAGCCCACTTCTCATAATCTGACCTGACAAAATTACTTTTCTTTCTTTTTTTTTCTTTTTTTAAAAAAAAGCTTCTTTTAATAGAAAACTTTTAACACTTGTAAAGTGTCACAGGTATCTCAAAATCTTTTGAACTGCTTTAGTATATCACAGAGATTGATAACTATAAGTGTGCAAGTAAAAAAAAAAAAAAGGTTGATAAAATAATTTTGAGAATTATTTCTATCAGGCTCAGCTTAATATAAATGGTAATATGGCTGCTTGAGTATATGGCTTATTTCATTAATCAAACTAATTTGACCAGCTAATATATTTCCTTCTTTAAACATGATGATAGTTAATTATTACTAATTATGACAATTTCCAATGCATTTTTTAGCAACGCAAAATTGAAACCAATATTTAAGTTTTTTGATATTTTATAAGAGTAATGCGGTTGAGTCATTTCATGTCAAATCAACAAGAATCTGACAATGACCGACACAGATTTTTTCCAAATTTGGTACACTTATAGAGCTTCATGATAGAAATTGAACAATACACATTTCTAGGTCAAAGGGCCTCCGAGATATAACCCTTTGGCCCTTGCCAAAAAGTTGAATTTTGGAAAATAGTCACAAAGTTTAAATATCAATATCTCAGTTGTTTTTTCACTCACAAAGCTAAACTATATATCATTTTTAAAGCACTTGGATAGATCTAAAATCTGATGTATTTATTTTTTTGTTTAACGGTCAAATAAGATAATTTGACTAACTTTTGACCTTTAATTTCTCAAAAAGCATATCTTTTAATATTTTTTAAAAAATTTACAAATTTGTCTGCCTTGTGGCAAATTATATACCAAATTTTGTGGTGGACTTCTGACTGTGGTCTGAGTTACAAGGGTTTTACCGAGTTGGGCCAAACTCAAAATGGATTTTGATATTTGCCATGATATGCTAACATTTCCATATCTCCCAATATGGTCAAGTTGTATATCTTTAGAAAGCTCTTTGAATGCTGATTAATGTTCACATAAGAACTATGATCATAAAATAAACAGAATTTGTGTTGTTCGTGGTTAAATGTTGACAAATTCAGTCGAAAATAAACAACCTTATCTTTAGTTTTGCTTATATTTTTATTATACAACAAATAGATTTTTATATAAAAAAGTGACATAAAGTCACTTAGTCTCCAGACTGTAAAGATATTGGTGGTTTTTTGTAGTAGTTGGGACTCCTCACCAATACAGGAAAACCAAAACAGTTGTGGTAAGTAATTTTTTTCTTAATAAGGTTTTTTTTTTTTTTTTTTTTTATGTTGGTGTAATGAGACAACATACTTATTACTGATAAATCCTCAGTGGGTGAAAGTTATTTACTGTAAAACAATATCTTTTGAAATATTTTATAATTTTGTTTTTATTTCACACTACTGGTATAAATAATCATGTAAACTTTTGTTTCTAGAATATAGTATCAAAGAAAATTAAACTGATTTTGACTAAAATTTCATATCAAGAATCTACCAGTGAAGAAGAGCACAAAAGATCTGATGAAAGTGAAATTATTACACAATTAAAAGAAAAGTTTGAAGCTTGTGAAAAGAGTTCCCAACAAGTACTAATTTTGACAATATTTCTAAAAAGGTGGAGTATCCAAAGAATTCAAATGGAATTTGGTACCACAATATACAAGCCAAAATCTTTTAAATGAACAAGTAATATTAACTTACCAAATCTGAAATAAATCTGTTGGTGATGGTCAGACCCTTGTTGATTTGACATGGAATGACTCAATTGCAGAGTTACTATCTTTATTTACAAGTTAAAAATAAATTTAAAACATAAATAAATTACATAAATTAGACTTGTCAAGTTTTAAATAAGATAATATTTCAAGTATGCTATCAAAATTCCAACACAAATATATGAATTACCTATCGTCATGATTTTTTTTCTTGGAACAGACTCCCAAGAAGATGCTTCCCCCATCACTACAATTTTAACCTCTTCAAGTCTAGGGTAAACCATTATCTATCCTCCATATCATCATAGTCTGCACTTACTTCCTCTATATATGCCCATAGAACATCATTCAGTAACCCTGTATGTTAAGTGGCTCGTAGGCCCTTGTATTTGGTGAACATTTAGTTAAAAAAATATATAAGTAAATAGTGAGAAGTGATACACACAAAACAATAAATGTAAATACACCTATGTTGATTTCTGAGATAAAAACAGTCTCCATTCTTTAACATTCTCCTCTTTAGTGAATAATTATGGGATTTTATTTAGCCAATTACATAAAATTCTATTTCTACAATGTCACCAAAATAGTCTACAGCAGGGTTTCCCAACCAGGGTGATATCGCCCTCTGATGGGCAATGTAGGATTTTAAAAGGTATTTCAACATATGCTACCCCCACCCTGAAATGCAAAGAATCTGTATTAAAAAAAAAAACAATAACATTCTGAGATAAGATATAAATATCCCTCACCAACAAGGAATATTTTGATATTTTCTATATAGTTGTTAATGATCGAATTTGCTTTCATTTGTTCTTTAATACAGTAGTAACAGCAGCAGCTGCTTATAAGTTAGCATTATTTGTTACCTCACTTAGGTATATTTTCAACATCATAAAATCAGTTTATGAACCAGTAAACTTTTACCAAACAATTTTGGTATGTTTTTGAATATTTACTATACAGGTGGACGATGACGCAAAAAATATCAGGAATCCCTGGTCTACAGTATTGAAATATGCAAGTCATCTCCATTTAGCAGTCACTTCTTGTATTATAGAAAAATGTTACACACACACAGAGAAAATAAAAGTGCAACACCCTGAAGCATGATGCTGATTTTCACCTGGTTACAGTATATGCATGCTCAGAGGTAGTAGATATTTTGATAAAATTTTCAAAGTCTTCAGCCATTTTATGATAGTAATACTTATACCAGTGCACTTTCTGTGTCTGAGCTTTAGATGGTAATGTATGCTCTGAGAATTGTAACAATTTACAGTAATGATATGCCCTGGTTCATTTCCAATGTTAAAAAAAATTAAAATTCAATATTAAACACTGGCAAAGGTTGCGGGAAAATTTTGTGATATATTTAAAAAAAAAAAAAAAAAAAAAACATTTATTGTTCCTAAATATCAATTAAATAAAAAATATATTTATATATAAAAATATTTTTTGTCATTCTATATATATATATATATATATATATATATATATATGGCCTTAAGATTGCGTTCAAGCATGAAACAGTTGCTGCTTGGTGTTGACAATTCACTCAATGTGATGTCATTTACAATAGTCAAACTGAATTCTCATCTGATTTTTTATACACACTTCAGTATATGATCTATGGGGAAAGATACCCTATGTTGGCTTCTCTTGTATTATGATGGCTTTCTTGTTGATATTGTTCAACAAAACTTGTTTAAAGGAATTCTTGCTGCCTAAATACACCCTTTATACACATACACATTGCATTTTATATATGTGATTATATTCATACATATTACGTTTCAGTATTGCTCTTGCTAATAAAATATTAAAATGATACAAAGTTCTTTGCAATGTATAATATTTGAACAATGATATTTATAATTTGTTGCAAACATCAATAAACTTTATAACTTTTAATCTGAAATAATTTACTGTATAGAAGTTGATATCAAAACTGATTACCTTTTTATTCAGTTTGTCTGGTAAAGAGGTAAGTTCCTTGACAGGGCTGGTAGATCTGGAAGTTCTTGGTTTCATTTCAGGTCCATTTTTGGTAGGACTCATGCTTCGAGACATTGGATCACTTTGGATAAGTTTTTGAAGACTGGCAGCTTGATCACGATAATAATTTCTATCTTCTTCCAAAGTTTTAATCAGAGTATCAACTTTTGTTGGAATTTTACCTTTTTTTGATGTTACTCCTCGGTGCTTAAGGCGTTCATTCTCTAGCACTAATTCCTTTTCTGGGAAATGTAAAAAAAAAAAAATTAACAAGTTTTTTACTTAAATATTTAAGTATATTAATTCTTCTATAAACTCTTGTTAACAATGACTCAAAATCTAGTTTTCTCTTATCTAGAGTTTATCATTCATAATGCATATAGTTTCCTTCAGTCATTTAAATCTAAGAAGAAACTAAAATAAACAAAAAAAAATGTAGCAATCTTTGTTGTGTTGTATATAGCTGTTGATAACCATTTCTTGTTATATCTCAATACATAAAGTTATAATCATATACTGAATTTATTTAATGTGATCAAAGATTATCATTTTTTTTTGTCACTTATTCTGGGAAACACGTTTAACATTTATGTTTATAAATGAAAGAAATTACTTTGCTTTAGGCTCATGTTCTTTTCTCCCTAAATTGAAAGCAAAATATAATTTTTTTGATGAGTCATTGTCATTTATTAATTTTCCAGCTAATATTTCATTTTAATTTCAGTTGTTTTTTATAATAACATTTCGACCATCATTCTATGGCTGTAATATAATACTCTTGGAAAAGGTATGAATCCTCTTCTCCCCCTAGCTATGGGTAAATAGCAGGACAGACTGGGTTCAACTGGTCTACAGGAGAAAGAAATGGCAACCTACTGCAGGGAAAAAATCTGCCACATCAGTCATATATCGAAAGATATATGATCATCTAAGTGTGTATCACGTATGGCACATAACTGAATATAATAACTAATGTGAATCAAAAATAAAGAATAAGCCTTTTCCAAGACTCAAACTTGTATTCCTTTTTCTTGGAAAGCCTGTCTTAATATGATAGCTGCCTTACTTAATTAGACCACAGTGTCTTTCAGCTGGCAGTCATTCAAATCTAACTATACAGCTATTCTTTTTCTTTCTGGTTATATTCCGTGTTAAGGGAATAACTACTTAACACCAGGTGGATAATAGAAGAAAGGTTTATTGTACACAACCAGTACAATATGAAATATGGTACAGTTATACACACAGGTCAATCTAGTAGTGAGTGCGACTAATTGGAAGGTCGGACGTGTTTGCGTCATCTCTCTCTCACTCTTCCTTGAGTCTGTCGTAGACAGTTGACTTTATAGGTACTTACTACCTATAGTGTAATCATTCATGGGGGTGACTGCTTATTCCATTACATGATTCCTTCACCACTTGATGCATCACATACACTAGTTGTATGAGCAGTAATATTATTTTTTTTAAAGACATACTAGTTGAAAATTTAATACTAATTTCAAGTAAAATCACTTCCAAGTCTTGACTATGAAAACATTTTCATATTTTATTCCCAGAAGACAGGAAATGATAAATGATGTGTGGTTGTCACTTTTCCAACTGCAAAAGATGGGGGGGGGTTGCAATCTCTGATGCTAGAGGCATCTGAAAAGTACAAAGAGAAACTGAAAAATTTGGGGTTAAACATGGACCTCTGTGCCCATAAAAAAATGGAGTGTCAAGAGGATGGTTTTTGCCATAACAGCGCTTTTATTTTAACTACCTTCACTCTTCAGCAATGTTTACTTTAAAAAGTGATAGAATAGGAATAATTTTTAATACTGATGTGAAGTGGAAGTTAAGCACTAGTCAGTCGCTAAGCTTGTCTTTGTCCTACGTTATTCTCAGTGACAAGTTATATAGGCTTTCTCTTGTACTTATGCAAATTAGGCATATTAATTTGCCAGTATCACTACATCTCCCTGAAACGCATAGGTTTTATACCTCTAGTAGTTCTTGTACTTCTTCTTGTGATAGTTTCATTACTTTGCTCTACTCTCTCTCCTGAATTTCTTTCTCTGGGAGACCTAGATCTGTCCCGCGCTAAGTTGTAATCATAGGCATCTTCTTGCATTATTTGATCTTCGTCCGAAGTTTCAAACTCATTCTGTCCCACTTGATCCCACATTATTTCGTCTTCTGATGTTTCATTCTGTAATGGTTGTTCTAATAAATCATTAACGGACAGAATCGTAGACATTTCTTCATCATTTTGCTCTTCATATTCACCCTGGGTCCTTATTCGATTTGCATGGGCTAATACACTGTTGCCATTTTCTCTATATATTATAGCTGTATTGTGGCCTTTTTAGCATGATAAATTCTGTCCTTTCCGGATTTGCTTCTTTGTTCTTTTTGTACCACATTTTTTCATTTGTGGAATACGACATTGTTAGCAGAGCTCTAATTTGTCTTCCCATTAAAGCTGATGGGCTTTCTAGTCTTTTAGTGTGTGGTATTGTGCGATAACTTAAAAGCAGCCTCGGTAGAAAAACTTCTACTTTTTCTTTTTGCTGAGAGCATGCTTTTAGTCCCATTTTTACGGTCTGCACCATTCTTTCCGCTAACCCATTCGACTGAGGGTGATATGGGAGTGTCTTATACAGTTTACATCCTATTTTTTCTAACCATAAATTAAGATCTTCAGCACAAAATTCTGGTGCGTTGTCAGATACCAGGGTTTTTGGTATGCCGTTTCTGGAAAATATGACCCTTAGAATCTGTTTTATCGCAGAACTTTTCTTGTCTGGCACCCGGATTATTTCAGGCCATCCTGAAAAAGAGTCTACTACAATTAATAAGAGTCCCACTCCAGTAATATACGCATGATCCATATGCACCCGACTCCATGGCTCCACTTCTCTGGGCCACGAATGTAAAGTAGTCTGTCTTAATTCTTTACATTTTTTGCACCTTTTTATATATTCTTCGACCTCTCTTGAATATCCCGGCCACCTTGCTTCTAATTTTATCCTTTTTTGTGTGGCCACTACTCCACAGTGTATATCATCATGTACACTTTTTATTACCAATTTTCTTTGTGTTTCTAGGGGAACTACCAGATCCCCATTACAAATCACTCCATGTTCTATTGTTAATTTCTGTCTTATTTCTTTGTAGGGTCTTTCCACCCTAGAACAATTTCCCCATGAGTTTTTTCTTATTCTTGATATTATCCTACTTAGTACTGGATCATGTCTAGTTTCTGCAGCCATTCTATCTAAAGACAAAACATCAGTCTCTACCCAGTGTAACAATGCATCTTCAAATTCTTCTTCTGTTTTATCTTTTGACTCCTTGTAAAATCGCAATCTTGATAGTGCATCTGTGTGTGGAATTGAATTTCTTTTGACATATTCTATATCAAAGTCAAATGCCATCAATCTTATTGCCCATCTTAGTATCCTCGATGTCGTGACTTTGGGTAATTCTTTCCTTGGGTTAAATATAAACTCTAATGGTCTATGATCACTTCTTAACAGACATTTTTTCCCAATTAAAAATTGTCGGGCTCTAGTAGTTGTCCAATGCTTCTTTCTCTATATTTGAATAATTAAATTCGGTGTTCATTAGTCTTCTTGATAAATACATTATCGGATGTCCTTCTTGTGATAATATTCCTGATATTGAATGTTCGCTTGCATCTGTGGTTAACATAATGTCCTTTTTTGGATCAAACATTTTCACTACTGGTTTCTTTGCCATAATTACTTTTAATCTATCAAAAGCTTTTTGTTGTTCCTCTGACCAAATAAATTCAACATTCTTTTTTCTTAAATTTGCAAACGGTTCAGACAAGTTCATGTATTTTGGTAAATATCGCCTGTAAAAATTCACCAATCCCAAAAAAGACTCCAATTCTTTTTTATTTGTAGGTGTAGCTACTTTTAGTATTTTTTCTATCAAGTCTTGGTCTGGTGATATACCTTCTTTTGAAATGGAAAGATAAAAAGATATTTTACTACAATTGCTTACACATTTTTCCTCATTTATTGTCATTCCAGCATTTCTTAATCTATTCAAGATTATGTCGGTTTTCTTTTTTAATTCATTTTCATTAGTAGCTCCTATGCATATATCATCTTGGTAACAAATCATATTTTTCATATTTTCTAAAACCTGTTCGATGACTCTTTGAAATATGGCGCTTGCAGTTTTTATTCCATATGGCATCCTTTTCCATCTTAGTAACCCTAATGGCGTATTTATCGTGGTTACTTCTTTGAAGTTATCGTCTATTGGTATTTGGCAGTATGCCGTTTTTAAATCTATTTTTGTAAAAATGCTCATTCCTGCCAGTGCATATAGGATATGAATCCAAACAAACTTTGTGATTTACACCTATTTTGTAATCTCCACAAATACGTAAATCACCATCTGTCTTCCTCAAAACTACAATGGGTGATGCCCACTTGCTACCCCCAGGGGGAACATGTTCAAGAAGGTCTTGTTCTATTAATTTTCGTAGTTTTGTTACTACTAATGGCAACAAATGTACTGGTAATTTTCGTGCCTTATAATAAGAGGGGGAGACATTTTCTTTTAATTTTAAACTTGCTTTATAGTTTTTTAACTTTCTGGTTTTTTCCATTTTTATCTCACTAATTAATTTGGTAGAATTTATGTTAAGCACATCATTTCCAAGAAGTCCGTGGTTCTTTTTACAACTTGTGACAATTATAGGTATTACTTCAAATTTATCTTCTAATTCCAAGGAACCTTCAAAGTATCCTAAAGTTTTTATGACCGACCCATCAAATTGGCGGAGTTGTAAACTGCTCTTTCATAAAGGTGGCTTTCCAATGCGTTCCCCCAAATTTTTGGTATCAGCGTTACTTCACTCCCAGTATCAATTTGCATATCTAAATTGCAGTTGATTTTAACCTTTAGTATAATGTCTTTTTTCTTTTGTTCAATTTTTTTCTATATTCTTATTTTTGAGATTGGTTTCGTTTTCTTCAACTCTTTCAACATTTTTCTTTTTGAATTTGCATACTGCTTGAAAGTGGTTCTTTTTTAAGCAATTTGTACAGGGTTTTCCAAAAGCTGGGCATTTTTCCCTTTTTATATCGTGTTCACGTCCAATACGAACATTTTCTTATCTTTTTTAACATGTACATATCAGCAAATATTTGTTCGCTGGGTTGACTTTTATGATGGTTGTATTTCTGTATTAATTCTTGTTGCTGTATAAAGTTAATGCATGTATTTAAAAACATATTTCCTATTTGTAGTTGTTCCATTATTTTATATCGGTGTGATGCATTTTCCATACCTTCAATTAACCTTAATTGAATCAAGTCCTCTTCAATAGTCTGTTCGTCTTGTCCAAGTTTTTCAAATTCACAATATCTACTCGCATTTCGTAGACGGTGTAGATATTTTATAATTGGTTCATCAATTTCTTGTTTCATTGACATGAACTTCGTTCTTTCTGCCACTACCAGCCTTTTCTTGGGTCTCATATTTCTCCTTATAATCTGACATTTTTTCGAAAGTCAGGTCTTCCAAGTTTGTGGGATATGCCATGGTGGAGATTTTCATTATCACCTCGCATCCAGCTGTAGCCAAAAATAAATCCGTAATTTCATTTTCACCTCCCTTCTCCTTGTTGTCTTTCAACTTTTTACTGCACTGGCAGAAAAACAGAGAATCCATGCATCCATGAAATCTGAATCCATGAAATCTGACAAATGAGATCCTATTGGTGACGCCACTGATGTGAAGTCGAAGTTTAGCACTAAGTCAGTCGCTAAGCTTGTCTTCGTCCCACGTTATTCTCAGTGACGAATTATATAGGCTTTCTCTTGTACTTATGCAAATTAGGCATATTAATTTGCCAGTATCACTACAAATACTTTTCTTGTCAGTTCTCAAGAACAGAGAAAAATGTATAAATTCACTTTCATATATTTGGATTTTATTACAATTCTAATCATCACTTTTTTAAAACAATAGACATTGCCGAAGAGTTAAAGGTAGTTAAAGTAAGAGTTGTCATGAGAAAACCATCCTTTTCATATTTTATGTTTTTGTGAGTATGAAGATCCATGTTTACCAATTTTTCTTATTAATCCCCTGTACATGTGGGATTCCCATTTTGAACACATCTTTGTACTATATTCTGTTCAAGTGGGCATGTGGACATATAATCACTTTCAAAATTAAAGAGTGCTTCTTAACCCATTAACTGCAATGATGGGAAGTTCTATCATTCAATTGCAAATTAAAGAAATTTTCATTGCAAATGACAGAAATTTCCATCACTGCAATTCTGTAGTTCAACTTCAAATGACAGAATTTTCTGCTGCAGTTTATGAATTCAGAAAGAAATACAAAATTAATCATCAGTTGAAAATGTTCCCTGCCAGAAAAAAAGAATATGCAACAAAATTTGGTTCAAATGATACTTTCTTTCCAAGTTTTGCTAATTGAGAATTTTTATAGGGCTTTGAAATTATCAAATAAAATTTAGAAAACATTATCTCCCAAACAAATCAATGGAAATCCACTGAGTTCATTGATTCTAATTTTATTAGTTACATTTAGGTATCATAATTTTTATTATTTTTTTCTTTAGAAAAAGTGTATCTTGAAAATTATTTTCTAAAAATTTAAATGTTAAGATGTTATTTTTCTACCAACTTGGAAGATATCTTCAGATAGTCAACAGTGATAAATTTGAAAATTAAGGTTTGTTGAATGAGAGTAATAAACTCAAACATAAAAGCTTCAATTAGCAAACAAAAGAAAAAAAGAACATAACAGGCCCAGTCATCAATATTTTAACTTCCAGCATCATTCACAGGATAAAGCCAAAAAAATAACATCACATCAATACAAAACAATTATTTTAACTTGATACATGTTGCATTTTGAAAAATGTGTATAGGTTCAAATATAGTAGCTTCTTCCAATTTCAACAACCAAATAACAATGTTTCTTAGAAATAGATAAAATATATTCCTGTGTTCATATTCTTCACTAAATATTATTTATTTGTTGAACCCCAAATAGTCATAATATTTCAGTTTGGTGGTCTATAATTGGAAAATCATTAATATTACAAATTATAAGACATATTTCCCTTGATTTATTCATTTTTACTGATTTTGCTTCTTTTTGTTTGTTCAAGATATACAGGTAAGAATACATGTTACTATCTTGTCATTTAGGTAAGGTTTTCGTGCACTACAAATCTTTTAATTCAGACTAGAGAGCTATTTAACACTCACCATTGGCCATTAATTTATTGACTTTATGTGTGAGCCTTCGTTTCTCTTCCTGAACTTTGTCCAGCAGAGCTTCCAGCCTCTTGAAAGATGTTGCCTTGTTCTTCAGTTCCTTTAGATCCTGCAGCAAATCTTCCTTCTCCTGAAAAACCATAAAAGACATCACTGACTGTAGACAACAGAATTGTATTCATCAATAATGCACAATCAAATCATTTTTTTTTTACTTCGGGGCACACTTAGAATAACAAAAACTCTGGGGCACACTTTAAAATTTAATAAAGAAAAATTAGTAATGAAATTTGAAAATAAAGAAGTCTCCTAAAATAAGCATTTATTTTTAGGACATTATTTGTGTCTCCAGCTTTTTAAAAAAAGATTTTTTTTAATATAAAAATCATTCATAAACCTTCTGTTAACCTGTGCTTAGTCTTCAGAGCACAGATGCACTGTTTGAGAAACGCTGTTATATACAATATGTTAGTTATTTTCAATGCCCTTATATTTTTAAATGCCAAAAAAAATGTATTGCATTATTAAAAGAACTAAAATATGCAACCACTATGTCCCTAGTTTTGTGAATATCTTACTATACAGAATGCAAGAATTAATTAGTCTGTATAGAATTATGATTTTTTTAACCCTTTCATTGTATAATTAAATTTCATGGTCATTCCCATAATGATGTTGAATTAAAAAATATATTTGCTTCTCACAGCATAAGGAGAGTTTTTTTTTTTTAAAGCTGTGGGGTAAATCCACTTTCTGCAGTTAATGATAAAATTTTGAGCAGATATATCAGATTTCCACAGCAAAAGGGTTAATACCATGTCCTTTTAGGATGTAGATTCACCACAATCTATTTCTTTATTATTTGTGAATTGTCTTTTTGGAAAAGATAGTGGAGTGGTTTTCCATTACCCATTGCACATTTTGAATTCAGAGTTATTTTTCTCCTAGACTGGTTGCCACCCAAGGCTCAAGAACCCAGTCTATACTGCTATTTAGCTTATAGTTGGTGGTGGGGAGAAGAGATGGATCATACTTTTTGTGTGAAAATAAATGCAATAGATTATGTGGGAATTTGAACTTGGTTTGTCAATTCAATTTTCTATACCGATAACCATTATGAATAATAATTCTAAACAAAAGTCATACTCATGAAGTCTCTGGATAACAGAGAGCTATGAGGTTGATGCAAATATTCCCAATACTACCTTTTACCCAACGTGAGGGACATCTTAGAAGTGGCATTAATTACTCAGCTCTTTATTGTTTATGCAGTCAACTTTAGTACATAGTTTACCAACTCTAGAACAGTTGGTTCCACCTTAACAGAAACTAGTATAAGTTAACATTGAAACATTTGTTTTTCTTGTTTAAATCAGAGAAAAATAATTGGCAAAGAAACATGAATTTATTATGCATGAATAAAATGGCCATTAGGTTTTAGAACAAGCTTGACCTTCTCAACCTTAATGGAATCTTCTAGGAGGAGAAAAATATTATTCTGTGTTTGTTGGTATCCAAAGGAATTCTTTCTCCCTAATTGCTAGAACCTGGACAAACTTACTATGCAAGGCTACAGTGAGCAATTGGCTTGTTTGAATGATGCATTAGAAGAAAAATAATGAAATTGACTGATGATTTAGATGCATGTTTGCATCCAATAAATGCAATGTAGTGAACAATTATAGAGCAGGGATAGAAAATTCTTCCATATGCAATGCATTCTTCAGACAGTCACTCATTTTACTCCAGGCAATACTCCTTATCTAGTCAGCAGTTCCCAAAATTTCAATATATTAAAAATTTTATGAAGAATTACTTCAATCAAAGCAATACTCTTTTATAATACAATATGCAGTTTACCTAAAAGATGGCATAAGGCCAGGGAAAATATTTTGATGTCTGAATAAGGATGTTATGAATTTAAAGAAATACAAGATTTTATAAAAAGAATGTCTGGAAGCTTTGGCATCAACTTAAAATTTTAAAAAAAGTGTGTGTATATATATATATATATATATATATATATATATATATATATATATATATATAACACAGGTATATTGTTTTCTTTATCTTTAAATAAAAGAAGGAAAGAGTAATGGATATCTTTAAGGTACTTACAGATTTGAGACGGGATACAGTATTATCCATTTCTTCAAGGTGTTGACGAGACTTATACAATTCATTCTGAAAAGAAATAATTGAATGAAGAATGAAATATTTTAAAATGTTTATATAATTTATAATAATCTCAAAATTCTCATTGTATAAAATGCATAGAAATTAAAATTAAATCCTCTATAGTGTCACCTGATAAAAAGAAGAATATTTTAATCAAGCCACTTTTATACAGAATATTTGTAGTTTAAAATAATAAAAACTAAATATTAGATACAAAAAATCTAATATACAAAAATAAAAAAATATAAAATTACATTTTACATTATATGAAAATAATACAATCATTACTTCATGATCTATTTCAATTTAACTGTTTTCTTATATCATTAAAAACAAACTGTTGGTGTTTTAAATTGTACAAATTAAAGTTAATACTATTTTTGCAGCAGTACAAAATTTTATTAACAATAAAAACAGATATGTGGAACAAATGTTCAGCTATTACCAAACCTGTTGCATTCACACGCATACAAATTGCCCACCTTGCCCTTATAAATATTGGACAATTTGCATAGGTGTGTGAATACAACAGATTCAGTAATAGCTGAATATTTGATAAAAACCAGCACTGTGCCCGGTTTTATAACCAAGATTTTCTCAGTACTGAATAAGACTAATTCAGGGTTTCATTTGAAAGTGATGGAATATGTTTACATTAAGCCCTACCAGCCTTCCACTGTAAGCAGAAGGAGTGGTTACTTAAAGGTAATTAGCCTTATATTTTCTTTTATATAATATTTGGTGTTGGGGTTTCATTTTTAGTCATTGTGTACATTTTTGTCATTGATCTTGGCTCTGATGAGAGAAGACCAATAAACTTGTTTAGCTGTCTTTTTTTATTTCGATATTACCATTTTACAGTCACTTTTTTGTTACCCCCACCTTTTATGTTATAAATTTTCTTGTTTTAACATCTGTTTTTATTGCACTAATAAAAGTAATACTAGCAATTCTATCAGTAAAAGTTCTATTTACAGTTGTATAATTCTAAACACTCATTAAGAACTATTAACTCTTTCATAGACCTCTTGTAAATACACATTTGAGGGCATTTGTTCAAAGAAAAAAAACAAAGAAAATATATATTGATTTGAATCTTTGCTTAGAATGACTGCAAAACACTTGCCCCTTCCCTTTTATAGGCAAAAAACACACAAATGCATGCTGGGAATTTTTTCTTAGCCAATAAAATAGACTGGTTTGCGGTAGAAGTTAGAACACTGTTTGCTTGTCTGAACTTGTTTTAGTGTGTCAACACAAATTTTTAGTTTGTGAACATTTTTGCATTATTACTGTTAATTTGCCTTTCATATATTGTTTGCTTGCTTCTCTTTTTATTGCAAATTTTGTCAATTCTATTTGTTGGATAGCTCTTATTTATTTTGCATTTGACCATGGCTAATCACACCACAGGTTATCAGCCCAGGAATAAAATTTTTCCATGGTGACAAATCAAAATATGAACTATGACTGGTAAAATTTTTGGGCTACATGCAAATCCAAAACTTACACAAAACAATCTTGGCACCATTTGATCGTCCAAGTGACAAAGAGTACTGTGGGGAGAATGCAAATGCTGAATTAATTCAATTTTTTGAAGATCAGTCTGCCTTTTATGTGAAAAGTCCCTGACTATGACAGAAAAGCACCACAAATTTTGAGAGCGCACTATTTATCAAAAGGTAAACCAAAAATAATTTCCTTGTATACTGAATTAGCCTCCCTATGCAAAGCAAGTGCCAAAACTATTGCTGATTATATTATTAAAGCAGAAAACATGGCCACTTTATTAAAAAGGTCAAGGCAAGTAATTAGCAATGGTTGCTAATAGCCATGGCCCTAAAAGGCCTCCCATCCAATTTCAAGCCATTTATAACTGTTATTACTGAGAAAGACAAGCTATAACATTTAGTGAATTCAAAGTAGCATTGTGAAGCTTCGAAGAAACTGAAAAAATGATTCAGGAGAATAACAGTGAAAATACTGTAATGACTCTTCAAATGCCAAAACCACACACTAATGTTCCTACCTGTTTTACTTGTGGTAAACTTGGGCATAAAAGCCCTGATTGCTAAAGTAAATTTCAGAATTACCCAGTAAATAATTCCCCCTCAAAAAGTTATAATTCCAATCTACTGAACAAAAATATTATCTGCCATGTTTGTCGCAAACCAGGACATAAAAGTACCAAGTGTAGAAATAAAAAAGAAAGCTCATTCTGTAAAAATGTGGAACCTGTTTCAGAAAATGAATATTCATTTCTGTTTTCAATTGGACTAGATACTATTTCCAACAAAAACGATTTATTTGTCGATTGTAGAGCCACTACACATGTTATTATGGATGAATTCAAATTTCTTACTTTCAGTAATTTGTTTGTTTGTTTTACGGCATATTAACCTCAATGGGTCATTTAATGCCAACAACTTTTTTTTTCCTGGTAATATTTTTTTGTCAAAAATCTATTTCTGGTAATTTTTTTTTTTTTTTTTCAAAAATGTATAGCTGGTAATATTATTTTAAAAAATGTATAACTAGTAATGTTTTTTTTTTTTTTTTCCCAAAAATTTATTTCTGGTAATAATTTTTTTACATGGTATTTCTGGTATTAAAACCCATTTTTACACATTCATAATGCTTTTTACCTCAGTTTCGGGGTTAACTATTTGCCCATAGCTGGGACCCTAACAGGTGCTACCACCTCAGGTCAGGGTGGACCTGGGAACACCAGCAATTAAAAGGTGGTTCCATGCTCCTCAAAGCCTCCTGATCAGAGGCCTTGCTGTTGGACATAGTTTATCATCTTACCCAGGACGTGGATGTAGTTTATCATCATAGCCACAATGGACTTTCAGTAATGATTTTAATCCAGAATATCATCATAATGAACTGGCAGATGGCAGTCAAACCAGTAATATTTTTTTAAAAAGAGGTGATGCTCAAGTAACTATAATGGACACGGAAATATGCGAGGTTGCATTTTAAAGGATGCTCTATACACCTCTACATTCAAACAAAGTATATTCTTGGTACAAGAAAAATGGGGATTCTGTAAAATTTGGCCATAAATACTTGGAACTTACCAACTGAAATGGTGTAAAATTTGACATAAAAAGCTACCAAAGTTTTTGTAGTCGTATTCTATTATGACTGCTGCATATATTATAAATTGTTGTTACAGTCAAAGAACTGAAAAAACTACATTTGAAATATTCACAGGTTACAAACCTAACCTCGCCAATATTGCATACATTTGGCACAATTTATTATGCCTATATACAAGACAGAAAGAAATTGGATACTAAAGGTGAAAAAAGCAATTTTTATAGGCTACGATAAATCAAGTCCTGCCTATTTATACCTGAAACTAAGAACATCAAAAGTGTAAAATTTAGTAAAAACTTTGAAAATCCTACTACATCTAACAATTTTTTACTTCTGGTTGAAGAAAATGATGCAATACTTCCCTACTATTTTCAAAATAAACCTTGTGGGGAGGAAAAACAAGAAAGCAAAAGTACACAGTCACCAAGTCTAAGCGATAATACAGGAGATAATCCTAGTTCAGAAATCCTCAACAGATGATATCCAAGCAGGTTACAAAAAATACCTGAATATCTAAGATTATGTTAAGAATTTGGACAACACAGTAAATCCGACTATAGACTATTGCTGTTGGGTAAAGAATATACCCACTAATTATAATGACTATAAAATGGTGATATGCCATGGACAAAGAAATAACTGCTCTAAACATAAACAATACATATGAATTGACTAAACTCCCATCTGGTAAAACTGTTGTAGGCAGTCCAGTAGGTCGACACTATTAAAACTAATAATACTAGTAATGAACAGTTCAAAGCTAGATTTGTTACAAAGAGTTACTTGCAAAAACCTGGAATAGATTATGAAACTTTCTCTACTACAGCAGGTTTATCATCTGTAAGGACTTTAATGCAATTAGCTATTCAACGTAATTTATTTCTCCAACAAATAAATGTAAAAACGGCATTTTTAAATGCACTGATAGACTGCAAAATATATGTTCAACAACCCAAAGGTTATTCCATTACTAACAAAAACAATGACAAGCTTGTATGGCAGCTAAAAAAATCCTTATATGGACTTAAACAAAGTGGATGAAATAATATTCAAGTTCTACACACTTAGTTAATTGATCAAGGTTTCTCTCAATCCTTGGCAGACTTTTGTTATTTACACAGGGAACATTTCAAATGCAATACTGATTATGATAGTTTGAGTTTATGATATACTCATTGCTGCAAGTTGCAATTCTGTGTTAATTAATGTAAAAACACATTTAAATGAAAAAATAAAGACAAAAAAACTTTGAAATAAATATTAAAAAAAAATTAAAATATTAAAAAAACATTTTTTGTTATATATGTAAATTATATATATTCAAATGTTTACATGTATTTTGTTTGTATTTATTGGCCCCATAGAAAGGTGGGGGATTTAGGGCAGGTAAATATGAGTGTACTCATCCATTAGATTGGGGTGATTTCAATCTTTGCTAAGAATGACTGCAAAGCACTTGGCCCTCCCCTTTTATAGGCAGAAGCACACAAATGCATGCTGGAATTTTTTTCTTAGCCAATAAAATAGGCAGGTTTTCAGTTTGACCTAACTCCATCCAATCTGCCTTGTCTAGAAGTTAGAATGCTACGTTTGCTTGTCTAGACTTGCTTTTGTGTGTTGACGCCAATTCTTAGTTTGTGAACATTTTTGCCTTATCAATGTTAATTTGCCTCGCATATATTGTTTGCTTGCTTCATATTATTTTTTGCCCTGTTCCTTTTTCTTTCAAACTTTGTCAATTCTGTTTGTTGAACAGCTTTATTTATTTTGCATTTGACAATGGCTATGCACCCCAAAATATATATCAGTAATGGTTAACTAAAAGGGATGATCACAAAAGTTCTATGAAAATCAGTAAAGAGAACAATAATAAATTATAAAGAATTATTTTTATGAAAGGTAAGAACAGTAGTTCAGATGAAGAATCTATTTATTAATATTTGCACACAGCTATCTTATGTGTTCAGATGGATTCTAAACTTACCCAAATACATAGTCTCTATTATCACAAATTAACTTACTACTCACAGATCTATTAATGATTCTGTTGGAAAAACAGTGTTATGTAGTGATCATAAATAAACTCAAACTTTCAAGATTTAAATTTAGCATGTAAATTGAAGAAAGGGTTCAATACATAATTCACATAAGATTACCGGATATGACAAAGAACTGAAAATGTCAAGGAATGCAATGGTTGAAACATCCTGACTATAAGAACTAAGATGAGGATACTCATCTGGAGAAATTACTGTATAACAATACAAAAATAAAGTGTGGAATTTTCACAGGTCCTTTTAGTTCTAACAACTTTACCTTAGCAACATTCATTTCAGTATCGGCTGTTTGCACCACAAAATCTTTGTCACTCTGCAAAAGTTTAGCTTTACGATCAACACTCTTCAATTGACGTTCTAGGTCAGCATTTTTGACATTCAGCTTGATTACTTCATCTTGCAATTCTTCCTTCTTTACCGTGCACTCCTGCAGACGCAGCTGCATTGACCGGTTTTGTTGTTGGAGAATATCCACCTATGGATAAGAAATAAATTTAAAAAAACACTTAACAGTAAAAGTATGAAATCACTAATTCTTCTTTGAATCAAAAGAGGAATTATGTACTTGAAATATCTAATTTTAATTTCACTAAATACATAAAAGAAATTAAAATACATAAGGAGGCAATAAATTACAGTAAAAAAAAAAAAAGAATCACTTTTATTTTTGTTCCTCAGCTGTGTTGAATGGTAATTGTAAAATTAGCTGTTTCCATACAGGAAACATTTGGCATTCAATAAGTGTTACTGTCAGTTGAAAATTTATTTTCTTGAAACAGTCTCTCAGGAATTTCAGATGTCTCAAGTCAATTAAATGCTATCACTTTTTCTCATATTGATGGGAGTTTCCTTCCAAGCTTTTTCTTTAGGTTAATGTGTATAGTCAATTGCTGGATTATACAGGGTTTATCAAAAATACTTTTACAAAATTTGGGGGCAGGTTCCTCACACTAAACAAGGACAAAAGTCCATATAAACATATGTCCACAAATCCTTTGTTTTTGAGTTATTAAGTTTAAAGAAAGTTTACAGTAGATGGTACTGTGTTGCCATATAGACCAGGTTACATTTGTCATTCATGTATATTTGTGGCCAGTCTTCAACATTTAATGTATGTAGTAACTGAGAAATGTTCCATTTAACAATGGCATGATATTCATATTGTGAGCAGGCAGATTTGATTTTTATGTACGGCCACATGGATGGTAATGGAGGCAAGACTGCACAGCTGTATCAGATTGTGTTTCCAAATCAAACACAACCAAATCATCCAACCCTTGTTGATGTTTATCATCACATTGCTGGGACAGGATCCATGTCACCACAAACTATAGTAATGTTAGCATTCTTCCTAAAACCAGATTTTCTTCTGATTCATGCTACACTAATTTCCACCATTGGCTGGATGTGAATGCTCCGAAACCCAAGACTGAACTAAATTTCTGTCAACTGCGCATAGACTCTGTACATACCTTCACACACTCAAAGAAAAATAAGCAATACAATCCAGAATTTCCACCCTTAGTACCCACATCCACCTAAAGAAACAAAATAAAAATCAGAGCTGATTTGAGCCTAAGAAAAGACATAAAAACCAATCAGAGTGACATTTTTGGCAGTCAAACAGCATAACAGCCCGGATTCACAATGCTCATTGGAATTCAACCTCCCATCTCCAAAAGACAACTTTACTTACCTCCTTTTAAGGACAGACATTTACACCGATTTATCATTTTTTTGTGTTTTATGTTGATAAAATTGTTTATTTCTTTAAACCTCCATTGTTTCTTCTTTGTTCTGCCACCATATGCCTAATATAAAAGTAATAAGTATTTTGGGATTGTATCTTGGATTGTGTCTACTGTAAACCTTAAATTTAACTCAAAAATGAAAGATTTGTGGACATATGTTTATATGGACTTTTGTCCTTGTTTTAGTGTGAGGAACCCACCCCCAAAGTTTGTAAAAGTATTTTTCATACACCCTGTATACCATTATTTTCTCTTCTTGTTAATGTTTTGTTGTTGCTGTTGGAATTATTCCAAGTGGTGCCTGGGTTTTGTTATTTGGTACAGCTCTTTGTGATTGTGTAGCATCAGTTTATAAGGTCTGATGAAGGATTGTCACCTTCAAGACCTAAAGAATTCATTTAATTTTAATCACTGAACTAAGAAATATATAAATTATAGTTTAGATATTTCTGAATGTGTTGAATATCATGCATGACATCCATATAAGAACAAAAATCTAAAAATAAAGCTATGGTCAAAAAGAAAATATCAATGTTAAAAAAGTTATTTTAATCTATGCAATACCAAAATAATCTTTCTAGAAGGCATTTTTTTTTTTTTAAATCAATATCACCCCATGCATGGCAGTAAAGCCATTAAGACACAAGGGTGTTACAGGTCGGGAAAGAATTTGGGACAGAAACATTAATAATGATCGGGAAGAGGAAAATGTAATCAGAAGGACAGTAGATAATGATTGGCATTACATTTAAATTTTTGCAGATTGAAATTGTCTGGAAAGCATGAAGCTGGAAGTAAGTTCCACAAGTGAGAAGTGCAAGAAAAGATATTTTATTGTGATAAAACCCACTGATATTTTACAGGAGGCAAGAAACATTTATGATTCAAACTTATGAAGAGTTAATGACAAGGACATGTAATCAAGTGCCTTGAACAAAAAACTATAGAGGCATGGAGCAGTTAGTAGTTGAAATTAAATATTTGCTATTTTCCAATAAAACAATGACAATATAAAATTTTTCAATCCACCCACGAGGATAGAATGTGGCACAAGGCCGGTTTAATGTGGGTATCCCCGAGCCCGTAGGCTCGGCCAAAAACATAGCCTTTTTGAACCCGCCTTGACGGATTCAGGCCCTGTCTACCTCCCCGAACGAAATTTTTACTTGTTAGTAAAAATATTTCAAGAAAGTTTTTCTGTGAGTATATATAGGCACACAGCAGCAGAGGCTATAAAACTCATTAAAAAGAATTTTTAAAAAATAAACAGAAAACTTAATGCTATAAAAACATATTTATTAAAATAAGAGGAAAAAAGAAATGATACAATAACATAAATGACAATTTAAAACAAGAAAGAGACATATATATATATATATATATATATATATATATATATATATAATCTCCATGAAATGAGAATGAATAGAGTCCAATTCTGACATTCGTAACATTCAATTTAAAAGAGGGCTCAATAAAAAAGTAGAGCAATATTCTTTATCTTAGGATATTACATCAAAACAAATGCAATCATGTTTCGATGTGTATTAACACATCTCATCAGGCATTAGTGAATAACTGGTTAGTAGACAATTTATTGAGATTTAAAAAAAAAAAACATGCATCTTTTCACAAGAAAAGGAAGAAAAGAAAAAGTGTAAGTAAGTAAGACAAGATACACTCTCTTTTTCTGAGAAAAGGAAGAATAAGGAAAAAGAGTAAGAAAGAAGTGGGAGAAGATAGCAGCAGTATTTGTTTTGTTTATATTCAGATATTCAGACCAATTAAAATGGTCTACACTAAGGGGAGAAACAAGTTAAGAAGCAATCATAAGTAAGCGGTCATGACCTGCAGATTTAGAATCATAGACACCTCTAGACGTCATATTCGATACACATGTAAATTTGCTACAAAGTTATACATTAGGCACGTTATTTCCTATGAGAAAAGAAACATAATTTAACAAGATACTTTACAAACCACATACCCTTCGAGTTAAAGGTTATAATTTCACATTTTTATAGTTGGTAAATAATATGGCTCTAAGAAATAAATGTAAAGTTTAAACAACTGATCTAACGAAATTATTAAAAATATATATATCTAACAAGATTATTTAAATATAGATCAAATAAAATTATATAACATGTAGATCAAATAAAATTATTAAATATATAGATTATACAAATTAGAGCAACTGTTAACTAAAGGGTCATATAGGATGTTAATAAAACCAATCAATGCAAAATGTCAGCCAAATGCTTATACTTCTATACTAAATATTTCTGACAGTACTAGAAGAATAATATACAAAATATACATCAAAATTGATCTACTGACAGATAAGCTTTATATCGTGCAACAAGGTTTTTCTAAAAAATAAGAAGAGGCAAATGTCAAATTTCAAAGTCTAGCAAGATTGTAGTCAAAGGTATGATATGTTTACAATTATCTGTTAATTCAAATCTTTGATTTAATAAATCATCCCTATAAATAATATAGACAGACCTACTGCATTTGCTTATCTGTTTTTATAGCATTAATTAAATTTTGTATCTCCAAGAAAATCCTTAAGAAATACTTATAAAATAAGAAACAACAAGGAAATCTTTGTAAATCTGCTATGATTCACTATTTATTCAACCTCATCAGAAATGTTCATTTTCAAACAGCAGGGAAAGATTGCAAAACTTTTTCCCCTTCTCTCTCTTATAGTTGGAAGGACACGAAATGCATGCTGGGATATTTTTTTAGCCAATAAAATGGGATGGCTTGCATTTTGACATGACTCAATCCAGATCTGCCTTATCTACTAGACAGACCTACTGCATTTGCTTGTCTGACCTTGCTTTTCTGTACAAACACCAACTCATAGTTTGTGAATTCTTTTGCCTTTTTATCTGTTTGATTTGCTTTAACTATATTGTTTGCTTACTTGCTTGCATGATTGCTGCTGTTTCATCCTTTTTGCCCTTTTTTCTTTTCATTGCAACCTTTATTAATTCTATTCATCTTATTTATCTGGCATTTTGTCAATGGTTTCTAATTCATCAAGAAATTTTGGAGTGGAATAATTTGGAGTTAAAGTCCAGTTTTTTAAATTATATGTTATTCTGTTTTCATTGGTTGTGTGGATGTCATCTGTATCTTTAATTTCTGAAATGTTAGTTTAAGTGTATATTAAAAATTGGGCATAATATTTTAGTGCCCTACATTTTATAATATTTTATTTGTGATCTAACAAATTCCATTGGTTAAAAAAGATTCCAATACATTTCTTATGTAACCGTACTGCAATTGACAAAAATCTGTAAAAAAAAAAAATCAGACTCCTGATTGGTCAATTATTGCTAATATCATGTTTTTCAACTATGTCTGAATTGTATCAACCTAGTTTCTGACCTGAACGAAAATATAATTTCACCAAAAATCTGTTTATGTGTTTCAAGCCTATCATGTGACATACAACATTATAAATATTTAGCAACATCTTCAACTGTTTCTTTTTCCTCTGTTTTTCTCAGAATCACAACCATGTAGTTCAGTGAGGAGCTTATGTCTGTCCCTGATGGGAAGATGCTATAACATGTGTGCACAGACACACATTGAACATCTCTTAACTCATCAACTACAAGCAACAGAAACTTATTTACTTCAAAATCTTCTGGAGCTATAAGTTACGATTCAATATATTCTCAGCTTTCCAGAATTCTCTCACTCATATTCAACTCTTTTCAGTGAACAATCTAAGCAGCAAGTTAATTCAACTTTTTGATATTCAAGTGAAGATTACATTTTCTCTCAATCAACAAGTTTCTTTGAACTCATCATACACCAAATTTCAGCCTGCAACACATTCTTATCAAAGAACATTTTTTCCATTGAAACATACTATTATTTCATGAACTGAAATATTTTCTGTGAGTCCAGATAAAAAAATTTATCTTTCTTAAAGTCTTAACTAATTCAAATAACAATTAAATGTGAATAACTCCTGCTGCATTATTACAACTCTTACTATATAAAAATCACACAGTTGATTGCTTTGTATGTCATACAGTAAATTGAAGATTGTTATTATGAAAACAGTTTTTTTTTTATTGTTTCTCTTGTTTGCTGAACATTTGTAAAGTAAATGTACAGATTGAATTGAGGCTGTTCAATACCCCTACAATATGATGAATGTTAGCAGTAAAATGTGTAATACTAAGTTATATAATTTCAAATGTATGGATCTTTCATTCTTTAAACATGTTTTATGTCTATCTATATAAAAGAATCATAATAATATAAATCAAGTTTGGTTTGATATTAAATCCTATGATCTCTGGTTTTAAAAATGATAATATATATCATCATTATATGATGTCTGATTTTCTGCTAAATCTGAATTAGTACTGAAACTAAAATGTCAGGAAGAACATGATATAAGAGAAACCCGGATATAAGAGAGATTTTCTCTGGTCCCAAATTAGAGCCGGTGTTAATGTATATAAATTAGACCCGGATATAAGAGAAATTTTCTCTGGTTCCGTCCTCCCCGATATAAGAGAGTTCATTTTGAGTGACAGTGTGATGACGTAAATCGGTCAAACAGAGGTCAGTTAGAGAGAGAGTGAAGTTCAATGACTTAATCTTGACTAGTCTAGAGACACGGTGTGTCCAAACTGTGTCTGTAGGAGACACCCTCTACCTTTTGCTTTGTGTGTCTAAGTGTAGCGCCGCCCACTTTTTTGCCGACTTTGCTTGTCGTTGCATTTACTGGACAGCACTTTCACTTTACCCACTGTTCTGTTGAGTCAGAAGTTTGTCTGTTTGTTAATTTTGCCACTGAAAACTGTTTGCTTGCGATCATTGCGATTAGTGATGTTGGTGTCAGCGTCTCAACGAAAAACTCTGCATTTCTGAACAGTTGGAGCTCATCGTCGATGTCAAAGTGAAGAAACTCAAACTGGCTGCTGCAGCCAAAAAGTACGGAATCGGTTATTCAACAGCAACAAAAATTCTCAAGAAAGAAGACGATCTCAGATCTTGCATGCAAATGAACGGAAACACTAATCACAAATGAAAGCGCCAATCCGTGCACAAGGATGTTAACGAAGTGCTTACACAATGGTTTATGCAAGCATGTGCTCATGGAGCTACCGTCACCGATCACGTCATCAGGCAGAAAGCATCATAACTGGCCGTAAATCTTGAAGTTGACTTTGAACCGAGCAATGGGTGACAAATGTTTTGCTGCAACTTTTTCATGGATATGATCCAAAAGATGTTTGGAACTGTGATGAAACGGGAATTTTCTACAAAGCCATGCCGTCTGGATCTTTGCAATTTGCCCGCGATGAACAGTCAAATGGGACAAAAGTTCCCAAAGACAGACTCACGATGCTTCAGTTCACAAACATGGATGGCAGTGAAAAGCAAGCTGTAGTTGTTGGTAAGTTGGCAAAACCACGCTGCTTTAAAAATGTCAAAACTCTGCCGTTTTCTTACTTCGCTAATCGTAAAGCCTGGATGACTAGTCAGCTGTTTACTGACGTTATGAAAACGCTTGATCGAAAAATGATTGCTCAAAATCGAAAGATTATTCTGTTTTTGGACAATGCAACTTGGCATAACTTACTGCCGGGTACAAATCTGTCAAACATCAAATTGTCGTTCATGCCACCAAACACCACCAGTTTCATTCAACCTTTGGATCAAGGCATCATTCGTTCATTCAAAGTGTATTATCGTCGAGAACTTGTTCGAATGCAAATCGCAGCGATCGATGCTACACTGCCAGTGCCGCTGTCTGAGGTGGCCAAGCAGATAACTGTTTTGAAGGCCATGCACATGATGAAGCGAGCACTTTTTATGGTCAAACCGTCAACAATTCAAAATTGTTTTAAAAAGGCCAGTTTTGTCATTGAATCACAGGCTGAAGTGGAAGAAATACTCGACGAAAATGATCAAGTTTCTCCACCATCGGGCATGGAGCAAACAGATTTTGATGAATCTATCAGCTTCGACGACCGTACACAATGTTATGGAGAACTGACTGACACGGACATCACACGTGGTATAAAATCGGATGATCAAGATTTTGACGAAGATAATGATGCTGAAAGCGTAAGTTCTGAAGTTTCTGAAAGTGACAAACTAGTGCCAAATTCTCTGGCTGCATTGAATGCGCTTGAAACTCTGACAGCCTACTTTGAAGCAAAAAGCAGTAATCCTGATGGCGCATTGAAAATGATTTACGGACTGTATGAAAGTGTTCATGATGTTAACAAAGAGATTTCTGTACAATCAAAAATGACTGACTTTTTTAAGAAAAAGTAATTTTTGATTGAATTATTTTGAAAACTGATTGAAAATATATTTTTGTCTGTGTTTTTTATGTCTATAACTGTTAAATAAACTAATGTTCTGTACGTAAAAAGCGTTATATGAAGTGTTCCCATACTTACCTAAACAAAATAGACCAAACCCGGATATAAGAGAAACCCGGATATAAGAGACTTCTCCGGTTCCGACAACTCTCTTATATCCGGGTTACATTGTAGTATATCCGCCAACAGTGCTGGATTTCTCTTGGATATTAAAACACTGGATTGCAGAATATGCAATGAATCAGGTTTTTGCCAAAAATAAAAACTAACTTCTTTTAAAATATTTTACTGGTTTTAGACTTGAAGCTTATAAAAATTAATTTTATTCTGTCAAAATATTTTGAATTATATGAGTTAAAAGTCAGTAGATAAAAAGCATCCTGCTTTGAAAGAAAAAGACTAAAACTTGATACCTGGATATTCAGGTGAGAAATCATTTTTTCATTTGCTCTATTTTTGACCTCAAGGGCCAAAGTGTCTGAAGGTCGACCTCCACTCAACATCCTGCCCAGTCTTTCTATTTCTTCATCCCTGGCAGATACCTGCAACAGATAAAACACAACATTACACAATGGAATTATCAGTACACTAGAGATATTTTCTTATAGTAGAAGCCTTGAAAACTTTCAAAATCAGATTAAATAACTGTCAACCAACTAGAATTTGTATATTGATCATTCAAATCTTCAGTATCTACCAAAATAAACATCCCTAAAATTTCCTTCAAGAATTTTTGGGAAGAGTCATTATAATTTCCAAGAGTTGTCTGGATTATTGAACTTGTTATGTCTCTGACCCATTTTTTAAACTACTAATGCTCAGGTTCAAGAGCCACTCAAGACAGAGTTACTGAATGAGTTGAGCAATATGAAAGTAAGAGGAGAAAGTGAAGATATGGAGGATAGAGAATGATCAACCCTAGATTTGAAAAGATTATGGTTGTGTTTTGGAAAACATCCATGTTTGAGCCTGTTCCACAAATAAGTTCTTAGAAAGATGCTTTCTTAGAAGAACATCCTCCTTACCAATATGTAAGGAATAAGAGTGATTAATCCCTATGGATATAACAAGAGCTTGGCTGTAACAGTCTGAGCTGGTAGCACTAAATACTGGAGTTTGAATATTAACCATGGAAGTAATGAGTAGCAATAGGTTTGCAACATTGTGTTTGGGAAGGGGCTACAGAAAATAGAAGAAATAAGTCATCCCCCACAAGATCAAATAAATGATTTTGAACTCTATCAAGGCTTGAAAGTGAGGATGGATGGTGTTCTTTACTTCAGGCCATGTCATAGTGCAACTAAGGGCAAGAACTGGAGACATATTACAAATCTTGTCCTAAAAACAGGTGACACTTTATATAGACTTGGAAAACATTTCTCCTTCAGGCACTGGTTAAAGAACTTTGCCAAAATTAGAAATAACTTTTAGCTTTTGATCATTAAAAAAAGATAGGTCTTATTAATAAAAAAACCCAACAAGATGGTAGACTTATTTGATATAAAGATTACATTTATAATTTTGATGTCAATAAGAGAGAATACAACAAATGACATCACAATAGAAAATGTCTTGAAAAATATTTTTGGACAGCGACAATAATGTTATAAAGAAAACTGAACATTCAGATGATGCTGATTTTAGAAAATGATATGTAATTTTTCAAATTTAATAAAATTAAAATGTTACCTATGAAAAAAAAAAAATTAAATGAGCTAGAGAACATTTTTGTAACTATTTTGGGTCAACTTGTATTGGAAGATTTTCAAATAAACATTGCGGAACCTTGTGCTTTTAAATATTTTGCATACAACAAACCAAGTCAAAAGATGCCATCAAAATATAAACCAAGACTGTAATTCATCATCCCAACATAATAAGATTTATCAAGCTAATTAAAAGGCAAAAAGAATAGACCACATTCAAGCTTCAATTGGCATTAGTATCAATATTTCACATAATGACTTATAAAGAAATGAAGTAAAAAATAATTGTTAAACAGGTAATTTTTTTTTAATGCCTTGGAGACAGCATATAACTGTAAGTTGGAAGATTAAAAATGAAAATTTAATTAAATTCTTAATAAAAAAAAAATTTTAACACTTTTGAAATTTATTTTTTTAGGTGCATGAAACAGATTGTCATTGCTTGCTGTTGACCTCAGTGTTCACTTTTATATTTACATATGGCCTATTTCTGATATTAAGAACTCCATATATATATATATATATATATATATATATATATATATATATATATATATCAATACCAAAATCCAGATTTTGGTATTGATAATATTATATTATATTTAGGTTTTGTTGACTTTGGCAATGAGTCCTCACTTTATTTTATATTTTTTAAGCTTTTAGCTTTTATTCTTACTATTTGTGTGTGTGTGTGTGTATATATATATATATATATATATGTGTGTGTGTAGAGAGGGGTGTTTATGAGTAACATATTTTATGGAGGGCACAGATACTGTGCTGATCCAAGAACAGAAGTGTCAAGAAGTAACACTTTGATTGCATGTAGAGCTAAATATTTTCATTGTCATAACAATTTTAAGAAATAAATAAGATCTTTTCATATTTTGCAATGTTAAGTGTTAATTAAATCAGACACAACCTATATTAAGTTTGAAATTTGCCAAAAATGATTATTCTGTAGAGTAATAATAATGAACTTTGAGCAGAATACCCAGTGACATCAAAGCTCATGTTTGAAAAGGAGTTAAGTTCAAATACCAATTTAGGTAAGTTTTCAGCCATCTTAAGTTGATGTGTTAGTGAAAAACTAACCAGTTTATGAGAAAGTTGAAAACCAATTGATCACAGAAAAGAGCAGTATCCACATTTGTTTTCAGAAAGAAGCTAACAAAAAAAAAAACTTCTTTTAATTAATCTGGAACCACATAATTCACTCAAGCCAAAGAAAACACATGAACTGAACTATTCAAACAATACACATTTTTATTATTTTCTGATAAACCCAAGATCAATGTTCCCTAGAGAATCAATTCTTTCCAAGTTGATCAGACCAGAAAAATTGGGAAGCCATTAGAAAATAAAGAAATAAAAAAAAAAAAACAAAGCTGACGGGCATTATTGGCATTTGATTAAACCTATTTGTAAAAAAAGGTTATTTGTGAGAGAATAAAGAAATCATAAGTTTTGGACAGGTTACACAATGAGGCACACTCAAGGTAATTTATGACCAATCAATCACAGTTTATTGATCATTCAGTCTAAAACTTAGAACATAAAATATACCATGAAAAATACTGTTCCTTTGGTATTTGAGTGAGTAAAAAAGAATATGCAAACTTCTCCAAGATGTGTTGATTATTAATCAAAAATTAATTCATTATTGCTTAAGTTGATTTTAAGAAATTTGTAGAAGACTGCATTGTTTTCAGAAAAAGTCAGGTATTAAGATTAAATATAAACTATATTTAACAGGAGATGGTATTTTAAAGTGTGTATAAAATAATAATAATATAAATATTTGGTACATTCTTTTCCAGTATAGTTGTGTGCTGTGAAAATGTTTAATACTCAATGTTACTTATATGATATGCATATATTTTAATTAATTCAAATTCTAGCATTGCTAGGATGTAGTCAACAAAATCTTGTCTACCATACTGACAACATCCAGTTCTTGATAATGACTGAAACATTTAAAAGTATGTAAAACCTGAACAGAACATGAATTTTAGACAGTTTATCAATAATTTCAATTTGGATGTACATCTTATTTGAAAAATCAAAAAAATATTTTAAAAACATTAAACAGACCTTGTTTGATTTTATCAAAATTTGTTTGAATGAATACTTTTTGCCTAAATATGCCTTACACACACAGTAAAATTTTAGGCCCCCACCACACAGTTATCAAATATGCACATATATATATATATATATATATATATATACACACACACACACACACATTCAAGAAGCTGCTGAATAGTTCTTTGCTTGACACACTTCCAAAGATCAATTTTTTAATGATCAAACTTGAAAGTACTGATTTTTGAAAGTGAGTTGGGTTGAAATCTTTTCCATACTTCCTTTGTATGTACAAAAAAAGAAGCTGAGAAGCTCTTACTCTGAAGATTGCATTTGGTTATGAAACTGATAGGAATCAACACTGTATGATGACTATGTCCACACTATCTATAACGACTCTATCTCCAATATTGAATACTTTTACCCTATAAATGTGGCAAATTTGGAACTATATATATATATATATATATATATATATATATATATATATATATATATATATATAGCAGCAAGCATTCATCCAAACAAATTTGATTAAAAATAACCAACAAGTTCTGTCTGTTTAATTTTTCATTATATTTTCCCAGTTTTATGCTTGAAGTTGTGAACTGTCCAAAGTTCATATTTTGTTATTTTTGTTCAAGTGCTTTCAGCTTTCAAGAACTGATGTGCTGCCTGTGTAGTAGTTAGAATTCCTTTATCTGCATCCTGGTATACTTTGGGAAGCTGGACATTTGAAATGGACTAGTGTGACATCATGTGTGTGTGTGTGTGTGTGTGTGTGTGTGTGTGTGTGTGTGTGTGTATATATATATATGGGATAATGATATATAAATTTTCATATATCAAAAACAATTGTTTTTGGGTGGGGAGAATATGTGTGACAAAGTAGGAAAAAGTTTTTTTTGTGATATGTTTCATCCTTTAGAACTTCCTTGGACTAATTTTTTTTATATTGGTGCAACTACACATGTGCATGAACAAGAGATGCTGAGAATTTTAAATTGTTTTTTTTCTGTGTTTTGGATATATAATTTAACCATTTTTCTATTTTGGAATATCTTATGAGCTTTTTTGTTTTGCATTGAATATAAAATCATTAGAGAGAGAGTGTGTGTGTGTGTATATATTAGAATCTTATTTGCACTTTTTACAAAAAAGAATAAGAAAATATTTATTTTAAAATGAGCTTTACTAGATAATAAAGTATATACACTAGATGTAACAATGCATGAAGTTTTGCTTGTCAACCTTATAATCTTAGTGTGTGTGTGTATATATACAAGACCTATACTTTTAACCTCTAAAGATTGAATTGTGACTTTGTTTTCGGAAACTAAAAGTAGTCATGTATGAACAAGTTTTCTTAAGTTCACTGTGCTGTTTCATTGGCAAGTGGTTATCTATTTGAAATTGTAACAACATTCAATCACAGCAACAAATACATCAAGAATTACTAATGAACTGTCAAGGCAATACAAAAGTTAAGTAGAAGAAACTTATCTTCTACTAGCAAAAGGTGACTTGGTATTCTTTAGCTGAAACAAATTACTATTAACCTTTGTTGACTATTTTATTTATTATTAACATTAGATTTAACTAAAAAACGAAACTGAAACCAGAAAAGCACTGCTTATTTGCAACTGTTAAGGGTTCGTCAAAAAAATTAAAAAATTATTTTCATTTCCATTTACTTCTTTTTTTTCTTTTTTTTTTTTTTCACAAATAAGATACACTGACAGCAAATG